ACCTGAGAGCAAGGAGCAAGCAAGGCCACGTTTCTGCTGCTTGGCTGTGTGGAGCAGGAATTGCCAGAGGAGATGGAAACAGACATAAAAGGTGATTCAAGAGCTTTTATTCTTCATTGTACTGAAGGAGCCAGGCCTGGGAAGAGAAGTGGAGGATAGGAACAGGAAGGAGGGAAGCACCACCACAAGTCAGCTGAACACCAAGGGGAGTTGTGGCTGACAGAAGGAGAATGGGGAAAAAAAAATAAATGTACACAATTCCTCATTATATCAGTGGTCATGCTGCAGTTCTGCACTCTTAGGCTACTACAGACACTGCTTATAGAGTAATAGGACAACTCAGAAGTTTTCTCAGGTACTTTCCAGGTAAAAAAACCCCTCCTCCTTCTGAATAGCACAGAAATATTAACCAAGGGTACACTGCTCACTTGTTCTTCCTATGCCAATTTACAGAAAAATATCAAATGATCTAAATTTTTCCAGAGATAATTCATCATCATGCTTAACTGACTATACTATGACTAAAATGACACAATGCTTACCCTATTTATAGAATAACTTGTGGAGTGTAGTATACCATTAATGCAGCCACTACTAAATCAGACACTAAAATCAACTCTGCAAGTAAAGGCTGAAGCACTGAGAAGTACCAGACCTTTTATGTAGAAGATGTTCCTCTGAAAAACACACACACAATGTCTTTCATAGCAGCCTTGTTAGCAAGTGTTGCTTATCAATGTTACCAGTTCTTACCTTGAAAGACTTCAGTCAGAGTAAAACCATAATCTCAAACTCAGGCTTTTTCTTTTTTTTTTTTTTTTTTACTACATATTTGGTATTTTTTAAGAAGAGTGTAGTTCAAATACCTAAATTCAGGATAGAAAACTTCACATCTGAGAAGCACTTTTTAATAAAATGCCTGGAGTGAAAACCCAGCAAGTCTGCCAGTCAACCATCACCCATAATGAAGCCTATGGGATTTGGTCCACTCCCACACTGACAGAAATTGTTTGGTTTTTCAGCTTCTTGAAAGTTTTAAAACAAAATTCCTTCTTCAATCACTTTCAAGAGAGTGCATACAAACTAGTTTCACAGTGGGAATCCAGTCCACCCACCAAGGGCTATGGGAAAGCAGTTAAGCATCCAGAGGCACCAGGCCAGGAAGGGAAGAAAACACATTACTAAGTCCATCTTCTCCATGACAATGGTGAAGTGGCCAAGAAGCAATAAAAATGGGCAAAGAATTTACATCTGCCAGTGTCCAAAATGCAAGAGAGAGTCAGTCCATAGGTTAAAGCATATTCATTGTGCCTTCTGGCAGATCAACAGGTAATGATAAAGGACATGGTCAGGGTATTTTGCAAAATTAGGAGATTTGCAATTTTACTTCAACAGGAAAACAGACACCCAAATGTGGATATTCCCATTGCAGAGCAAACTGACCTGCTGAACAGATCAAAACTTCCTTAGTAACATGTACATTCAAGGTGTCTGTTTTATTTTTTAAACCAAATTCCAGATTTGTCCACTGAAATGACAAAAAAACACACAGCCTAAAAAAAAATTAAGTGTGAATGCTTGTCTTTTAATTAAAATGCATTTTTAGTATATTAGTAATAATATTGCTATAATATTAGTAATAATATAGTAATAATATCAGTAATTATTGAATAATAATAAAGCAAGGACCAAGCAAAATGAAAGTGAGGGAATAAATTTTTTTGCCTCTTGGAAAGTACCAACAATTTTGAAGTTACTCCCCAAGGGATAAGAGTTTGACATTTGACAGTTGCATCAACAAGGCAGAGCTGAACATCAGCACTCATGGCCAGTCCCCTACAAACCACACCTAGCTTGGAGATGAGTAATAGCATTTTTAGATCCTTGAATTTTGTTTAAAAGTGATATACTTACAAGGAAAATAAGTGGAAATATAAAAGCACCTGAGGTTTTGTTAGTTAATTTTCTCTGTGACATCCCTGTCCTCTCCACCAGCAATGCTTGTCCCTGGAGTGTGTGACAGTGACAGCAAGTCCCAGCTCTTGTTGGGATCCTGGATCATTGACACAGGGACACAATGGGGATCACAGACTGCTGGTGGCACCAAAATCAATATGGCAACATCCTCCAATCTTCCATCTACAGCTGAGCAGTTCCTCTCCACTGAGAGCTGGCACTGCCTCCCACCACTCCCAGACTGACACTTTTTACTGGCCTAAGTTACTCCAATACTGGATCAATTCCTTGTGCCAGCAAGTTCTTATTAAAATATTTGATAGACTGTGCCATTAACAGTTTATCACTGAACAATATCAATGGATATGCTAATTATCAGTCTGATTGCATTAATGGTTTAAGTTTAGAGGAGTAAGAAGAGTTTAATAATTGGCCTATCATTCTAATTAACTTTAGTATTGAAGAAATAATGTTTTATGTTACTGCAGTTCCTTCATCAAAGTGTTTTCCAGAAATGAGAAGGAGAATTAAATCCTGAGAATTCTGATAGGGAAAAGCTATGCCAACACATTTTGTTTGGCAACCTTACATTCAGAGATGGCAAGCACCCAGATCCAAACTAAACCCAGGGAGCCTGGGAGGTTTGAATTTTGAATATTATATTCAAAGTAAAAATATTTTGAAAAATAAGACATTACAGCTGTGGTAAAGCATTCTAGACAACACACATAAATTAAAATCTCTCCAAAAAAAGCCCCTTGACCAGGATCAGCAGGCAGCACACACCTAACTACCTGCAGCACAGGGCAAGATCATGAGCTCCCAGCACAGAGCACAAAGCTCCAGCAGCAGCCAAGGGCTGCCCTCAGCCTCCCTGTGATTCTTATCATATAGAAACTCTGTTACCCCACACGGTGGATTAGAGGGTTATTAATGTCTCCACCAATTCAAAGTACAAACCAGGGTAGGACACAACGCCCATTCTTTTCCTATTTCTCTGCACTATTCCTTCCCCTATTCTTGGGCCCATTTTCATTGCAGTGCAGGCTTTAGAATACAAAACAATTTCTACATTAATTCCTCTCATGTTGTTTCAATATGTTATTTCTACCACAGCAGAAAAAGTAGTAGTTTTATATTTGCTTTCCACAAAACAAATCGTAGCGGATGTGTCTTGCACAAGTAAAGAATGCATAAGTTATTTATAATCAATATAAGTAATTATAAAAACCCATTATTTTTCCTTAGGGAAACATACTAATCCAGTTTTATTTTGTCATATGTTATCTTAAATTGGAGGTTATGCTACTCCTTTAAGCAATAAATCCAGTGCACACAACTAAAGATATGAAAGAATTAATTTCTTGATTTTTTCCACGTTAAAATAGAACACTTTCAAGGCACACTTTTGGTATATTACTTACAAACAAAAGCAACACAAATGAGAACAATAAAGTGGATAAAAACCCCAAACTCGGCCTATGGCTGCCAAAGGAGGATGGGGAGAGGAACCATTTTAGGAGCTCCAATTCTTCAGTGTAGGACACAGCAACCACTTTCAGAACCCACCCAACTTTCCAGCCAGTCCCCTTCTCTACAGCACCCTCACCTCCCCACAGCTAGGGAGCAGGAAAAAGACAGCAATCCATACCTCCTGTAAGACAGGCTTCACCAACCTATCAAACCACTCAATTGACTTGCACTTTTTAAATAGCAACAACACAAATACATCCAACGTGGATCTTCTAATACACTACAAACCTACAGCTACCTTTCTGGTCAAGGGGCAGCAAACATTTGTACACTGAACAGCTCCCCTGCACACCTGCAGTGAGACAGTCTGCGAGAGCCAAGAAGAAAATTTGCTGGAAGTTGTTCTGCAGCCCTTAGAAGAACAATAAACAATGGTTATTCACCACAAAGTACAAGAGAACAACCCCTACCTGTACTGACCTTACAAGCATGACAGCAAGGAAACTCACCTTCCCCTCAGTGCTCTCAAAGGACAAGCCAGCAGTGACTGATCTTAATGTAGGGAAACCCCCACAATCTAAGCACCTTCATCACTAAAATTCTCAAAAGGCAGGCTGAAATCCCTAAGGATAAGCACTTTCTGGTGTAACTCCACAAAAAGGAAAAAAAAAAGGCCCACGCAATTCCCTAGACATGCATAATTAAGAATACATCATTGCCCTTTTCTAACAGAGTGCTTCCCCAAGGAAACTCAAGTGTTCTCTAGAAGAGGAGAGCTCTGGCCTAGTCCAATGGCTGGGTGAGCACCAATCCTGCAGGATTCCCTTCCATACATCCCATACAGTAAAATAAACACTGTCCCTTCGACCTCACCTTCCAAGCTAAGCATTACCGACAACTTTTTTATATGCACACAGCTCTGTAACCTCTTCCAAGGTAAAAAACGTTCACAATTCCTCTCACACCAGAAAGAAACAACCTTACCACAGCAGGAAATTCAGGGAAAGCTAAGCTTCCTTCTGCACAGGTACATACCAGCTTGAGAGAAGACCTGTTATTTTCTTTGTCTTTTCTAGCAAAGAAACACACTATTGACACTGCACACCCGACCTGCACCTTCCGAGTGCCTTTTCGAACACAGCCAAACATCTCCCGCCGTGGCCAAACCAACGACGGCGTCCCACCCGGAGGATCGATGCCTACCTGGATACACCGCCCCCCTTCCCCTGCCAGGGCGGGGAGGCCTCGTCCCATCCCGGCTGGGCTCCCCTTCCCCAGTAGCAGCAGCGCGTCCTCCCAGCGTTATCCCCGCTCCGTGCGCGCCGGGAGCCGCCCTTGCTCCACATTTACAGCCTAAAAATCCACTTGCGCTGCCTCCCGCCCCCTCCCAAGGCCTTCCCAGCCGAGCTCCCCGGACCGCTCCCCGCTCCCTCCCGGCGGGTCTCCGCTCCGTGCGGGCCCCCGGACCCTGCCCGGCCGATCGCGCCCAGGCCGCCGCCCTCGCCCCGCGGCCGGCGCGGCTCCCAGGCGAGCCCGGTGCTGCGCAGGCCGCGCCGCCGCCCCCGCGGTACCTTCGGTCTGGGCGCTGGGGCCCGGCTGGGCCATGGCTCGGCGGGCGGCACCGCCGCGGCCTCCTCCGGGCGGGGACCGCTACGCCACGGGCAGAGAGACGGGAGCGGCCGGGCCGGGCCACCGCCTCCTCCGCCTCATCCTGACAGCGGCCGGCGGCGGCGGGAGGGGAGGACGGGCAGGAGGAGGAGAAGCAGCAGGAGGAGGAGCCCCGCGCAGGCGCCCACGGTGAGACACGGGACCGGCTGCGGCCGCCGAGCGGGGAGGGACCGGGAGACGAGGATCGGGACCGGGGGACGGGGACCGGGAATCGGGACCAGGATTGGATTGGGAATGGGACTGGGAATGGAGACCAGTACTGGGAAAGGAGACAGGGAGTGAGGGTAGAGATAGGGAGCAGGAACGGGAACCAGGGACAGAGACTGGGACAAAGACCGGGAGCCAGAGACCGGGCACAGGGACAAGGAACAGGCACCGGAATGGGGAACAGGGGCCAAATACCAGGACCAGGGACCAGGAACGGAGTAAAGGGACAGAGACAGATATTGGGGACCGGGGAAAAGAACTTGGAGAAGGGACCGGGGACAGGGTGAGGGCGGTGATGGCTTCTCCCGAGTCCCTGCCCGGCCTGGCCCCTCAGTCCCGGGCAAGAGAGAAATGGCCGGGCCTACAGCCCGGAGGCATAACTAATGTTTATTATTAAGGAAACAACATCAAGAAATTCTGCCCTTTAATCACAGGATCACTGAGGTTGGAAAAGACCTCATCGAGTCCAACCTGAGACTGATCCCCAGCTTGTCACCTTGGCCATGGCACTGAGTGCCACATCACTGAGGTGATGACTCACCCTGAAGGGGATGGAAGCACCCAAGATTCATAAATCCTCGTGGACAAATGACCCTCAAAAGTCATGATTTGCCTGCAAACAATCAGGAAGTTTTATTAGTAAATTACACACTTGGCATGGAAATCAGTGTATTAGTCCCTGGCCTATACTTAGTTGTCACACTTTTTGTCACACCAATAATGCAGCTGTGACCTGGCTGGGCAGTGGAAGGAGCCTGTCCTGCCAAGGGGTCCCTTCCCCAGCACCCATGGTTGGGCTGTGTTGATGGAGGTTTAGTCCTTTGGTGGGTTTTAGTCCTTCCACCTAACTGGGAGAACATGTCTGAACTCCAGGTTCTAGCAATAAAATGGTAGATCTATGTCATTTGAGCACATGTAAAATCACAGAATGCAGAGTTGGAGTAGAAATTACGACACCAGTTCCTTTCAAGGGCAGGATCTGTGACAACTCACTTTTCTTATGGCTTGTATACCCTAAAATGAGTCACTTTTAAACTGAATCTCACTTGTTGCCACTGTCTTTCAAGCCTTGCTGCCAAAATACATGGTATGGCAAGGCACAGGATTCTGCTTTTCCCATTAATTTTTTGCTCATTTAAACCAAATGCAAACCTGAAATAGGAAGTCTTTGAAAATTATTCCATTTTGCCCTTTTTGATCAGTTGAGATAAATTTTCTCAATCTTCGCTATTGTATAAAGCAGGCTTAAACTAAAGACTTAACTTTTTGGTCTTCCCAAATTAAGACATCTAGGGATTTCTTCATGGAAATGGGGAGAACCCAGAAGAGTCAGCTGCTCACAGAACTGCTGACTTAGTGGCAACTGATCAAAGGATGAAGTATCTATCACTTGAGGTACATTTACAAATTTCTTAGCTCCTTCTTAGGCTTTTTTCTAAATAGCTGGATGTTACAAGCATTCAGTGCATGAATCCTCCTGAAAATCTAGTCCTGAGTGTAGGAACTGAGCTCTTGAAACTCCACCCTGGTGTGTGTTCATATGGGTACCTCAGAGCACCCACATTAGCAGCTAATTTCATCTTGTTCATGTTGGGGCAAAACTCTGACACATTCTGGTCGGTCAAGGATCAAACTCAGTGCAGCACCACTCCTGCTGCAAAAAGCAAGTAAGATAATAACAAGCTTGATATCTGCTGTACCTACAAGTGCTTATTAAGGGATAAATATAATTTCACTTTCATCACTTCCATAGTCTGGATGACAGGATATTGACTATTGGAATTGCAACATTTCCAAGTCTCTATCTGAACTCCCGAGCTTACATTCTGAATAGGTTTTATATGCAGTTTGAAAAATATAAGAACTCTCAGGGGGTTTGTACTTTTATTTTCCTTTCTTGTTCTTCAATTTAGAGCTGTACTAGCTTTATAGGTGTGGCTCTTACTTAATCTTTCTTTTCTGGACAGTAATTGGACTTGACAGAGGTGAAAGTTTATGTAGTATCTAATAGAATGTATTCTAACCTGAAACAATTGAGTAACTTCCTCTGTGCCTCCCAAAATGTCCCATTTAATTCTACTCACTTGTAGTTCTTATAGCCTTGATCTCAAAGGATTTCCCAGCATGACTCAGCTAAATCTTAGAAGAACTAAAGGAGGTTTAGCAGCAGTTTTCAGTCAGAGGAAAAGGTCTTGCAGCAGAGAACCAGCAGAGACCAGAAGTCCTGGATTCCAGTCCTGTGGTGTGAATGTTAGACAAGTGCAGTGTTAAGGCATCAGTGACGCAGGTGAGCAGAGACTATTCTGGAATAAGCTTCTCCAGAAATAATGCTCCTAAAATCCCATGATTTTCTCTCAAATTTATTTGGCCTAAAAGCCTAACATGGGCATTTTGAGCATCAGCACCACATGCAGCAGACACGTGGGAATGGAAGATGCATCTTCCTGGAGAGTGTGTGCTGTGTCAGTACAGGTGGAGGAGTAGCTGTCACTTTGCACTCTGCCTGAAATGTAATCCTGCAGGCTCATTGAAAAAAACAAGTTTTCAGGTTTTGTTTGGACAGTATCATGCAGGAGTAAGCAGTGAGTGTGAATACACAGTGGTTGCTGGAGACCAGGAGGAAACTAAAGGAGGCTGGAGTTGTTTGGTTACAAAGAGAACAGTGAAGTAATTCACATAACATATCTAGGAGACAAGAAGTATCTTCATTTTCCTTGAGGAAAAGAAACCAAATAAGTGGATAAAGATTGAATCTTATTAAATCTGATTACATCTGTTTTTCTAATAGATCTTATGGTTGATTGACTTCTGCGATTATGGGTACTCAAGTTCCAAAGGAAACTTTCCTTGCTTATTTTTTTGATCATGTAGAAAGATTTTTCTCTTTCTATGTCTTTGCCTTTATTTTTTTTTCCTTTACTTGGGGCACTTTAACCTCAACTGAGGCATCTATTTTCATGAGGCTTTGGAGAAGGTAATTATCACTGTCCTTATCTGTGACACTAGTCCCAGATCCTGAGGCTGGTTGAGTTACCCTAGCTGTGTCCCAGCTCCATGTCAGGACAAGACCCAGTTACATACATTGCACTTGTACAAAGGGCACAGCTTTGGGGGAGTCCCTGCTGCTCCAGCCAGTCCCTCCTTGGGGATGGTTAAAGGGGCAGGGCTGTGATCACACTGGGGAAGTATGATCCCAAAAGCTTTGTATTCACAGGAAGTTTGGCTAATAAATACACAGCTCATTCCTTTTGTTTTGAGTGATACAAGATACTATTGTTTCATATGACAGCTAAGCCAATTCTACAAAACCCAGAGTCTTTAAAAAGATAAACTGAATTTCTGGACTTGCAAGGCCAAGTCTGCATCTGGTGTGAATCCAGTGGAAACAGGCTGGTGTGTGGGAACTGAGAAGCTGGCCTGTAGCACAGAACCAGAATGGAGATCCAAAAGGCTCTCTGAAATGCTGCTCCCCATATCTACTGCTTTACTGGCCACAAAGAAGCTGGATTCCATAGTGCCCTGTGTGATGGGGGTTTGCAGTGAATCACAGGCCCTGCTCCCAGAGCAGTTCACCTCCTCAACCACCCACTGCTTGATTCAATTAATCCAAGAAAGCTCAGTAACGAGGTGGATTTGGGAAGTGGCTTTGTGTGTTGTTAAGGCTAAACTCCAGTGCACCCACAGGGGATGGGAATTGCAGACCTGGGGCCCTCTGCCTCAGCAAGGAGGAGATTTCATCTCCCCCACCTACTCTACCCAGAGGAGAGTTGAGCAACAGTCTCCACTGGCCAAACCATGCAATGACATCACCTTTGGAGGAATGCAACAAGAATGTTTCAGATGATAAGAGTAAACATGTTACCAGGAAAAAAACCGTGTGTTTGAAATTCCAGGTGAAGCCCAGGGAAGCAGAAGTCACACACATCTTTACTTGGTGGTGCAGGACAGTGAGCCTTGACTTCATTCCAAAGGCAAGTAACAGCCTTGTCCTGCTTGCAAAAGAGAAGAGGAAAACCAGAATTTATTGCTTGCACTAGGTTCACCAGATTTTGTCTACTGTTTTTCTCAGCTTTTTTTTATTGTTTAAAATAAAGTGCGCAGTTTCCTAATTTTTAAATGTTTATTTTCTCTCTGTTGAGATCAACGGGTCATTAGCATTAAGTACTGGTTCTGCAGCTAGGAGTGTTTCTGGGCTTTGGTCCTTTCTTTTTAAAGCAAAGCTTTTGGAGAAAATTTACATTCATCTAAGTATTACCATAAAGAGGCTGGTTAAAAATCCCAAATCAGTCATGCTCTTTGCTTCAAAAGTTCTTCAGGAATGCAAGGAATTTAGTCTGGAACAATTACATTATTTGCAATGGTAACTTCTTAGCCAACCCTGGAATAGTTTATGTGGTTAAAAACCTTTGAAAGAGCAATTGAAAAATTATGTTATCCCATCTATTGTTTAAAGGATTCCATGTGGTGCAGTTCTTTGAATATATGGGAAGAAAATGGAGCCAAAAATGAAAATTTGGCAGGCAAAAAATCGAAGTGCTTGCATTGGCTCTCAATCCAGATATATACTCGTTAATGATCTCATTTGAAAGATGTCTATATTAAGATCTGAAAGGTCTTGGTGTTCCCAAGGGACAGGCTCACTGAATGTTGTGATATACCATGAAACGAAACAATTTTTCTTCCTGCAAATTAATCAAGAAATCAGCAATTCAGTCTGTGTGAGTAACAAAGAGCACATTATGAACACAGCCTTTTGGGTATCCTTGCTCAGCAGTGCATGAGAACTGCCATTGCAGGGAGGCACAACTCTGCTTTGTGCTTGCACACTCCTTCCTGAGAGGATCTAAA